TAAATAAACTTACTTCTTTTTCAACTGATTTGGATTCTTGCCTCTAGAAAATAGGAAGGTTTACCGCATTCTGGAAAATAGGGTCTCAATAGTTTAGGCAAGAGAGGTGTCAAAAATCCCTTTTAATGTTAATTTCATTTTTTTCACGCTGAAGAGTGACAGAAAAAAAGTGATATTTTTAAATTCAAGAACTATTTGATAGATTCTATACAAAGTTTGGATTTTATTGTTGAAAAACATTTTACAGTAAATACCTTATAATTGAAAATATTTTTGACCACATATTGTTAAAATAAATAATAAAAAAAACAGTAGCTACTTATAAAGATTTATTTTTTACGTCGAATTATCTTTGAATGGGTAACAAAATTATTTAATTATCGTAAACAGTTTCAGAAAAAAGGAGAAATGCGTAAAATGCGATATTAACATTAACTTTTTACCTTTCTTTTGACTAAACTATTGAGACCCTATTTTCCAGTTATTGCGATTTACCCCCCCCCCCNTTTCCCCCCCCCCCCCCATATTTTGATGGTAGAAAAAAAAAACCAAATACGCGAAAAGAGATGTTTATTCAGAGAAAGTAAGTTTTCTTTGTTCAATTTGCAACTAAAAATATCGTTAAGAAAGGGTGTTAGTATGGGAAAATCTTATCATTCTATCAAATGCTCTGATTTTTTTGTTTTACTTCGACCGCATTTTATATATTAAATGTATTATTGTACAATATTTCTCATTTATGCGTTTAATATAGAATTGAATATTGTTCATAAAAATAATTACTTCATAGGAAAAACTAAATTCAAAATCAGATTATGGGGAACTTTAAAACAACAGGGATTGGACAAAAGTATGAAAACACTTCGATGCCCAGTAACAAATCACGGTAAAAAGTACTGGCACTCCACTCAGGCGGCCGATACTTTTTTTTATCGTTATATCCATTTTTACCGGAACATGTTAAGTAACAAAAAATGCAATATGCCGTTATATATACTGTAATAATTATCGTAAAACCACTGAATCGCTATAATTTAACAAATATTACTGTAAAAATTGCGGTAAAATATTTTACGGTAAAAATGGATTTTACGATAAAATGGGCTTTACAGGTCATGTACCCAAAGTGCCAGTACTTTATATCGTAATTTGATTCGGAATTTTTTACAGTGTACTAACTTTATGGAAAATAGTTTTCTTTTATCAGCAAATATTTTGGAAGATTTTACAATGCACAATCGTTGGCACATTTTGAAAGTTCTTGTTGAAAAGCTTTTAGAAGTGGAATCTTTTTTATTCATGTAAAATTTGCATTGATCAAGTTATAAGCTTCTTTCCTCTTTTAATACCACTATAAATTAAAAAAAGTTATCTAATATGATTATCGCAATCTTATGGAATGATTTCAAAATTGCTGGTATTACAATTAGAAAGAAGTTATTAACTTCCTTTCTTCATTTTGGTCCATCCGAACTTAGCATGGATATAAAAATGAAACCATTTCTAAAAGCTTCAAACATGAACAGTTTTGACATCTAAAATCTTCCAAAACGTTTACTGCTAAAAGAAGAATTGTTTCCATAGAATTAGTACAGAAGTGTTGCCATATTTTTGGCCAACTCCTGTATTTCATTTTGTTTCATAGCATTACATCGAAACTACAAATAATAAACAGGTAATGACGTTTATATAAAATTATTAAAAAAATCGTATTAAAAAAACTTTTTAATAAAGGATTAAATAATTAAAAATGTAAACTTTTTTCTCTAGCAATATTTTCTAATTAACTTTTTTTTTAATAATTCCTTTTTGTTACGGTTAACATTTGTATGAAAAACAAATAAATAAATAATATTTTAAGAAATATTGCATAAATTATAATCTGACACTAAAAAAAATTTTATAACAAAAAATGATAATTAGGGACCTAATATGCAAAGTAAGTTTTTCAAAAGATGTTATATTCTTTAAAGGAAAGGCGGAATTCTTAATATAAAGGGAGCATTTCCCGATACAATGCGACATTAATGATGTCTTTACGCAGTTACGATTGTATGATACATTATGTATCATGCACTGATAATCTTCCTTTCATGAATCGCAGTCAAAACATACGATTTTCTCTGCATGTGGTGTAACTCATGACAAAGCATATTTGCATTCAGATTCATTTCATAAAATATCGCAAAACTTAGATTATATTCATAGTGTAATTTAAAGTTTTCAAAATCGTTTTTTTTTAAATTTTTTTTATCAAGCTTTGAATAGAACGCCATACCTCAATATTATTGGTACTAACATTGAAGAAATTTAACAATTGTTTGCTTAGTGATTTCTTTTGTTAACTTTTTTCTTCTCAAATTGCAATTTCAGGAAAACCAAGACTATAATTCTTAAAAAAAATATGCTCTTCTAAGTAAAATTTAAGCATTGCTAATAAATAAAACTATAAAAACATGTAAATGTTAAATAAAAACATTTGTTTAATCTTATTTTATGCTATATGTTTTAGAATGATCAATAAAATTGATTTATTAGCCATTCAAATCATTGATAAGATGAATGGGAAAATTAACATGCATAGGGTCAATAATGTACGACGTTACTTTAGTATCAATTGATTCAAATGTCTCCAATTTTTATTTTCCATCCAATTTATTTAAAACAAGACATCTTATTGTCCATTTTAACATTTTCGTTACACTTAAAATGGGGCTTTTTTTATTGAAAAAATGTTGAGGTAATCAACAAAAATAGATACAAAATGAGGGTTTACCGTTTAATTTATTAATGAAATGACAATTTAACAGCTAACAATTTTCCGTACCCGCAGGACTTTTTTTTTTGACGAAAAGGTAATGTAATGAACACAATCGCATTAGAAAGAATGATTATCATTTAATAAATAATGAGCTGTAAACGCAATCCTATATGAAAATTAAATAAATGAACGAATTCTTCCTAATCGGAAAAACAGTTTTGAGAAAATACAATTTAAAATTCACGAATGCGTACTTCGTCCATATGTTCGTCAACAGAAAATGTTCCTCATCTTTACTCTATATATGGATTAAGCATCTTCGAACTTGTTTGTCGTCGAAGTATGCAAAAATAATAAGAATAATAAAAAAATCGATCCCATCTTTGTAATAAAATCTTTATTTAATTTTTTATTGTATAATTAGTTAAATAAAGTGCTTTATTTCACGAATTTATTTCTGATATCCTTGCGTATTTTTATTTGCGGTCTAAGTTAAGCTTTTGTACTTGAGAAAATAACAGTCTCTCAAGGTTATAAGGAAAAACCACAATAAATATTTTAATAATTTAGATATTTTACATTTACATAATTCGATAGTATGCTCATTAAGCATTGAAAGTATGAGTTGGGACTAACATAAAAGGGGAAAGCAACGACATTGGCATGGATGCGAATATGGATGAAATAATATCTTTAAATTGTATTTCCCCAAAACAATGTTTTTAGTACTCGCAGACAAAATAATTTCGTTAGATTTCATTCAATTTATACTTACAGATTTAAAAAGATATAACTATTGAAGCTTCCGTTACCAGTCAGGAATTTTTATCGCTCTAACTATATTTTGTCAAACTTAACAATGATTTCCGATTTTAAGATTCATTTTATTACACAAATTCCTTTAAGTTATGAATAAAATCCTACTTTCAACTAAAAGCTGCTTAATATGCAGCTGCAATAACTTATACATATATGCTGTTAAATTATTATTAAAAATTGGGTGAACACTTCAATAGTTATCGTTGTCAGTTACAAAAACTATTCTGATAAGCATTTTTTTTTCGTTAATATAAAAATAAATAATTCTTCTCACTTCCAGTAACAAATAATACTTTTCAGACGATTTTCTAAATTATTCCCCCCTTCGAAAAGTGTAAGAATAAAACAGCTGAACCATAGGAACTAACAAAATTTTGTTTTATAGAATGAAAATAAAAATTTAAAAAAACTGCGGGACCAATACAAATGTTCGAAGTATTACATTAATATTTTTCAATAAATTTCACATGTACCAAATATTAAAATTAGGAACAAACTTTGCAATTTATCCTGTATTACAGTTTGAAAATGAAGTAAAGCTATAAAAAGTCAGAGTTTCAATCGCGTTATTTATCCGTAAAATAATTCGAAAAAATTAAAGCTTAGTGTTTTATTAGAATAATATTTTTATCAATCGAGAAAATTCCACAAAGATCCACTCAGTTAAATAAATTTATAGACTTCATTCTTGAGTACAGAATTAATTGCTACAAAAAGAATTTTAAGTAAGCAAAAATAAATCATTATATTTGTGCAAATAGTAACTGCGGTTCAAAGAGTACATCACCGGAGTTTTTATTTTTTTGTCAAGAATTTAAGTAGTAACTAATCACAAAAAATAGATAAATTTTTCATGAATACTTATTTTTTTTTTGCTCTCCAAAAGTTTAAAGAAATTAGAACTTTATTCAAATTTAATCTAAACTGAAGTGTTTTTAAAAAAACCAAAAACTTTGTTATATATTTTTAAAAATATTTTTATTGTCACACATTTGTTAACAATTATAATTATTTACTATAATTAATTAATTATGGTTCGAAAAAAATATTATAAAAATTGAATTTTCTTAAAAAAATATTTTGAAGATTTTGAAAAAAAATCATTAATTGCACTTTTTTCTGAATAAAGTCTTTTTTACGCTTTTATATTTATGAAGACAAGTTGAAGTGCATACCTAAAAGTTTAAAATTAGTTTATTTTAAAATTTTATTTTATTTATTAGTTTAAAAGCATTTATTTATCGATGTATTCATTTTAAATATAATTGCACATTTGTTTGTTTTAAATTAGAAAATGGATAAACCAAGTTACGGACGTAAATGATTAATTAATGTGTATTACTGCTACGACTTAATTGAATTTGAAATCTGTTATAAAAAGCAAAAGAAAAATTTGAAATTATAAAGGTCAAAAACTCACCACATGTAATAAAATTTCCTAATAATATCCATAGAAGCATTTTTTTCTTTACTAATGACAAAAGTATATGAACGACACAGAATATTTTAGTAAGGTCCGTTGCAAAAGTCACACATCTTTCTTATGAAGAGAAAAGAACAGTTGGAGTAAGAGAGAAAAGTTTCTTCGCTCTGATTGTGACGTCAGAGAATTGTGACCAATAGAAACAACTGATTGAGCGATGCGATGAAAATGATTTGTTTATTTTTTTGTAGAAATACCTGCAAGTAAAGCAAAATTTAAAAGAAAGAAATCTGGAAAAGAGAAGGAAAAAAAATCGTTTGCGTTTTTCTTTCAAAATAGCCTTTCTCTCGCATTAACTTTAAAAAAATCGTTTGAAGTAATATAACCGGCCTTTAGCTTCAAAGCAATAAACCCAATTAATGGTTCCTTTTTTTAAAAAATTGATCATGATCTACTTTTAAAATCTTCACTTCTTGCTCTTAATCTTTTTTAAATGACCGAAGAAATCACATTAAAAAATGAGAAGAATCACTGCCACATTTTTGCAGAAGTTTATTATTCCGATTTCTTTCAAGAGTTCTTTTTATCGGAAAAAAGGCTACGTCATCACTGAGTTTCAATTTGATGTTGTTTTTGTATATTATTTTTATTTAAAAAAAAACAATCACTTTTCAGTCAGTTATCATAGCCAATGATAAATAAATATTTAAAAGCTGCGAATCCATATCAAAGATCAGAATGCTTCTTGTTTTTACAAAAAATTTTATTGACTTTGCAACAAACCATTTATTTATTTTTAATTTATTTTTTAAGTTCTTTGTCCCAAATTAGGCATACCTTCCCTAAATCAGGGCACATTTCTTTTTAAAGTTTGATGTCGCTTTCAGTGTTGAACGACTAGAGCATTAGTTTGGAAAGGAATAATAGCTTCTGGCCACAATTATAAAAAATATTTATTTTATAAAGAAAAAAGCATTTATTTTACGAAATTCATTATGGAGCGATATCGATGTCACGTTTGGGGGGGGGAGGGGGAGGATGTGTGAAAGTGTGACAAGTGGGTAGGGGTTAACTAAACACCAGTCATTACGCATTTTGTTTAAAATAAAATAATTTGAAATCAGCAGTTAGATTCACAATTTTTTTTTCTCTTACTTTCATATGAAAAAAATAAAAAATGCTGTTTTCTTCTAATAATTTTGCCTCGTAATCCCTTTTATTTCATTTTGCATAATTATATTTTGTTGTACAGTTATACAATTTTATTTTGTTCATTTATTGTACTATTCATTGTTTTTTTGAATCCTTAATCTTTCTTATAAGTAAAACAAGCACACATTATCAATATGTTTATTACGCTTACAAACTTCATTGAAATGCATCATAAAAGTTTAAACATAAAGTTTGAACTGTGATTGATAATGTAGTACTTTGTTTTCGAATCGCTGGTATGTTTTTATGGAATATGTGGTAAAAGGGGGTTCATGGTGATAGAGTTAAAAATAATCCTTATAATTGTTATGGCGATGTATGAAACTTAATGACAAGCGTAAGGAAGGGGTCAAAAATATTGAAAAAAAAGTGTGTCATGATTTATGGACAACAACACTGCCGAACAAACGAAACATCAACGTGAGTGACAAAAAAATTCAAAATTGAGATATTTAAGTATATTTGGCATCTTCGTAGGATAAGCTACATATTGCAAAAAAACATTTTTCAAAAAATAAATTTTGTTTTATCAGTTTTTTGTTTAATTAAGTTGGATTTTTTTCTATTGGTTCTATTTCTATTAAGTTCTATTTTAGCATTTATAGCATTATCAACGGAAAAAAATAATTGTCAATTCAGTTTTTTCGAAATCATTAGGGAAGCACTTAACGTTGTTTTTTTTCAATTGCACGGCAGAACAACAAACAGCGAGAAATTTAAACAAGTTAAACGATATGAAATTAGTTGTGAAAATTTAATTATAGATTGTGGCTAAAATTATTCAAAGTAGAACACAAAAAAAAATCGATTCTCTCTGGCTGTAGTAATCTCTTAATGGTATTAACACAGACGGCTTCGCAGTTTTCTCTTTTTATCAATTTATTGGTCTAATACATCTTTACAAAAAAAGGAAGAAAAAAAAACTATCTTTTATTTTTAAAAGCACTCTGCCATTTGATTTACTTTTTCCTTTCGCAAAATGAAAGTTTTTTTTTTATCGAAACAAATTACTTGAATTTTTCCCCCAATGAAGTAAAGGAAATCTGTGAGACAAATATTTTTTAAATTAATAAAGGCAAATATTTTTACTTTCTCCATTTTGATGATTCCTGCGGGTAAAATAAATTATCTAAATTTTATTGAATATGTTGAAGGAGGTTGAAGGCTTTAAGCTTTTGTTGTTGCATAGAGAATCATATTTTAAGTTGAACAATGTACGCTTTTTTAGGCAATTTTTCAAAAAAATTTTTACTGCTACCTTTACAATTTTTTTGCATAGAATACGAGAAACTGATTTTGAGTTTGCCCATATTCGAGAATAATACTTCTAATTAATTTTTACAATAGTTTTGTTACTTTTACCTGTTTCTTTGAATATTGAACTAAATATATCGCTGTTTAACACAATAAAAATGTATGTACAAAAGTATATTTCTGAAAGTACTGTGATTAAATATTAGGTATTTGTTCTGATAAAATTTTATTCATCATTTATGCAATTGAGAACTGTAAATTTTTCTATTTAGAATAATTAGAAATCTAAGTTTAATTAAAATATTCAATTTTTAGAAACTGACTTAAAAAAATTAAACAATGAAGAAAGATTAGATATTCTTTGGTCTTAAAACAATTAGAAACCTAAGAGTAATAAAGAATTTACTTTTATTTGTCTGATTTAGAATAATTAGAAGTCCAAATATAAATAAGTATTAGTATGAGTATTAGTATAAGCTGATTAAAAAATATTAAAATGAAGAAGAATGAAGCATTCTTAGGTTAGAAATTTAAATGCTATGAAAATTTCGTAAGCTGACTTAGAAGTAAAAGAATGAGGTAATCCTTGGTCTTAAAACAATTATAAATCTAGGAGTCATAAAGAATTAACCCTTATTTCTTTGATTTAGAATAATTAGAAATCTTAAAGATCATTTCGTTAGATGCTAACTTATAGAAATTAGAAATTGAAGAGCAACGAGAAATATTGTAATAGGAATTCGATTTAGAGCTTTCGGAAGTCCAAGCATAGTGCAGAATTCTGAGTGTTAGGGGAAAAATTTAAAAACAATCAGAAACTTGAGAGAAATAAAAAAAAATTACTTTTGTTATGAGCTGAATTTAAAATATTTAGAAACATAGAAGCTATTGAGATTTCATTATTTTGAAGGATTGAACTTGTTCGATTTCGAACTTGTTTGAATTGAATCGTAGCTAGGGCATGTGGGTAATTCGAAGGACTGTTCTGATTTTAAATATACTTTCTTTTAATTTTCAAAAAGTAACAAACTGTTATTGTTTGAAATTGTAGAGGTGAAGGAAACAGGTGTTATTGACGGAGATCACGATTCCATGAGGTTTGCGTGATTTTAAAATTCTGAGATCCATGAAGGAAAAGGGGTGGAAGGACTCCAATCAACCTGTCACGTATCACCTGCCTCAGTACTAAAGGAACATTTGCTTATTCATTCGCGCCACTATTTTCTTCTGTAAAGTTGAGTGGAGGTGTGAGGTGGAATGGGAAGTTCAAAGTTCGACTTAATTATTTGTTTTCCAATAAAGAAATTAACGAAGGGAATTCAAACGTCAGTTATGGTTTTCTAATCAAACAATCAAAGCTGAAGAACTTGTTTTGAATTTGCTTTCGCAGTTAGAATTTTATTGTCTGTTTCTTTTCTTTTTTTGGTCTTTAACAATCACATCATCATTTTGATGAAATTGTAGCTCAAACAAATAACTCTCATATTTTACTTATTTTAATTCAAAACAAAATCATTGAATGATTAATAAGCGGCAAAATATTTTAAAAGAATAAGCTCTAACAAAGAATAATAATGTTTCCTTAGTATAGCAGAGGGGATTCATTTTTGAAACATTAGAGAAAAAAAAATTTTGTCGTTTACAATCAAATCATTATTTTGAGGGAATTGTTGCTTTAACAAATAACGCTCATATCTTACTTAGTTCAATTAAAAGCAAAATTGTTGAATGATTTATGAATGTCAAAATATTTTCATAAATTTTTAAAAAAGAATAATAATGTTTTTTTATTATCATGAAGTAAGAAGCTTCAATTTAATAGTATTATATTACAAAATAATCACTTTTGTCGTTCATATCATTATTTTGATGGAATTGTAGAGCTATAACGAATAATGCGCATATTTTGCTTAACAAAATCATCAGAATTAAAAATCAATTAGAATCAAAATCATTGAATTGCTTATAAGTGACAAAATATATAAATAGTTACTTAATGAATAAATTCTACCAAAGAATTTTTTTACTTATCATCATGAAGTAAAAATGTGACTTCAATTTAATAACGTTATACTACAAAATAATCACTTTTGTCGTTTGCAATTAAATCATTATTTTAATAGAATTGTTGCTCTAACAGAAAACGCTCATATTTTACTCAGTTTGATTAAGAGCGAAATAATTAAATGATTTATGAATGACAAAATATTTTTAATAGTCAATTAAAGAATAAACTATAACAAAGAATAATATATTTTACTTATTATCGTGAAGTATTAGTGTGGCTTCAATTTAATAACGTTTCAATACAAAAAAATTTTACGTTTAAAGTAATTTGTGAACATTACCAAAATGATGGCATATGTTAAATATTAACCCAGAATGTTTATAAATGGTATCATTGCCATTAGTGGTCGGTCGACGTTATTATTGGATTGTTGATTATCTCTTATGATTATTTTATAGAAGAATAAAGTTATCCGTTTTCGTCTAGCTGGATTATCAATTCAAGATGTCGTGTTATTAATTGTTTCTAATTACTATAATTGTCTTCATAATATTAAAATAATTAGTTAAATGTAGTTACCATAAAGTGTTGCATTAAGTGGGGATAGGTTCTGTTGTTAATACATACATAATATACCAATGCAGGTATAAGTTGTTGTCGTCGGTAGAGAGGGTGCGATTATTCTTGTTTTCCAGTGGCGCCATCTATGGCCTAGAATTCGACTTC